TGCGAGAGGAAGAAGAAATTGATCTCAGTAGTATCTCCTAGCTTTGTAATTTCATAAGGGAAAGAAGTCGGGCTCTCACACCCTCCCACCGTTGAAAAGCCCCGAAGATTCCTATCATGCGTTTTCGTTTCCATTTACCTCGATTCTCGCGCAGTTGCCGGGTGGAGAATCCCGGACAATTGGCAATTCATGTGGCCTAGAAATAAGTTAAAAGCGTTATAGACTATGCAGAGTAGCTTTTCAAATTGCAACATGTGACAGAATCGGTGTTAATTATTCGAATAATTGGAAGAATCATATTATGTAAAAGAAATCATATAAAAATAGAGATGATCTTCGTGTGATCTTGAAAAATTATTTTTTTTTCGAAAATTGATTTTACCATTATTTGTCTCCCTTAAAGTCATACAATTTTTGTCGTAAACATTTTTGCTTACTAGGTTTAATTTTTGAAATATTCTGGTGTTTTGCGTTTTGAGATGTCCTACTCTATATAATATGTATAATATAAAACAGGGAATTATCTAGTTTATATTAAAACTTTTACATCTAAAATGTAAAAGCGTATTACCGCTAGTACTTAGAACTACAGAGTGTGTTTCTTTCATTGAAATTTAATTTAAAATTTATTAAACCTATTAAAGTTATTAAACCTATTAGATTTCATTTAACAATGTAATAAATTAATTTGAATAATGAGATATGATACAATGTTATAGCTTTAACTAACTAGACAAAAGAGAGAACTATATAAACAGTTAAAAAAAATAAATTAAAAAAATTTTTTATTTGTTATCATTAACTATTGAAAATAATTGTTTCTTCTTGAAAGGTAGACAAATAATGATAAAATCAATTTTCGAAAAAAAAAAAAGATTTTTTAAGACACGAAGATCATATCTATTTTTATATGATTTCTTCATTAAAATGAGAAATTCGCACAAACAAATGTACACGCAAATAAATGTATTTGTCTTTGCGAGGTAAGTAATCTCGTATGAATTGCGGATTTCGTTTGAAATAATACAGGGTGTCTTAGTACCGTATGAGTGAAAGCAGCGATGGGAAAACGCTCAAACAGATACGGCAATACATGCAAGCGGTTGTGAGGTATTCTAGCGAAAGCAAGAAACATAACTAACTTCGAAACTACGCGACTAGCAGTCGCAATTCCTCTCGGATCCTTGATTTTCAGTCCGGACTTCTGTAGCAACACGCGCCACTGATTCAGTAATCAAGATATAATACTTTCGCCAAAACAGCCACATAGTTTGATGTATTCTCATCTTATTTTAAAGTTAATCGCGCTAAAATCAGTATTTACGAATTCTTTTTATAACGTAAAAGGCCTATAAAATTTAAGTAATTTGCAATTTTATAGGCTGATCTTAATAAATAATCAATTCGTCTATATAATTTTGTAATATTCTTTATTAATAATGACAAATATGAATAAATTATATTACTTCAAAAGTTGTTTCAAGATTTGATATGTTTATTAATAATTGTAAAAATTGTCAATTTTTAATGTGTAAATCAATATAATATAATAAAATATTATATAAAACATTTCGAGACTTTAATTATTTGAATAATAAATAAAAATACAAAATAAAATACAAAATGTATTTTATACATTTAACACAATAAATGTTTGTGAAATGTTCAGTCAAAAGCATAATTTCATCAATCTTTTTTGTTTCTTGTTTAATATAATCCAATTGTTTTCCAACATCTTATAATATTTTATTGGATTTCTTTTAAACTTTATATCTAAATCTATCTTTTTTAAATATCGTTTTTGTGTAATTAATATTGATTCAAAAATATATAATATTAATAAATTTTATTTATTTGACAAAAAGTTTATCATCAGATGGAATTACAGTTTTCTATTGTAACAATACCAATAATGTAGGGAGCAAGATACAAGAATGCAGAAACGACCAAAAAATATCCTAAGCTGCTAATATTAAAAATGATCAACTGCAGGTAAACTTTGTAGGATGTTGGATAAAACACAATTTTCATATTGCAATATATCAGTCTGATATGATCAATAGTCAATAATCTGTTAAGTCTTCTTGTTATATTTAAAAAAGGCAAAGAAAAAGTTTATTTCAAAAAGAAGGAAAATTTGAAAAACTAGAGATATATATTTTAACAAGAAAATTATATCTTATTCTTTTGACAGTAACATTATTTCACAGGATCACTAATTACTCAAAAAATAATGTAAATAAGAAAATTTATAGCTACATAAGACATCTTATAAAACATCTAAAATACTTTACGAGAACTGTCTAAATAAATATATATCTAAATTGCCTTATATATGATAATTTATGTTCCAATTTTGGGCTTCATGTTATTTGAAATAATTTTAAAAAATAAATATAAAAAAAAATGAACAAATATATTGATAGTTAATAGTCGATATATTTGAGTAAAAAACAGCTGAAATAACCTTTGCTTATTAATTGCATATTTCTTTAAAAAGTATTAAAAATCAGTATAAAAATACGAGATTTTTAGTAATATGTAATTTCATAAATTGTTCTTTTTAAAAAATATAGACAATATTTTAAATTAAACAAGTGTGGATTATATATCTTGCTTTTCTTTTTTTTATAAATGGATAATAAATTAAGATTTCACTCTGTCACTGCTTTTAAAATTATGTATTGTATAATAGTTCGGCAGACATTCTTGTGATGGTTAATAGACAAAATGAACCCCCTGGAGATAACTGGAGAGAGCCGATAAGATCGATGATCGGTGGTTAATGGAACTTCCCGGGGCATGCATAAATTGTCTGGAATTTAGGCGTAGAAATACAAATTCTATATCCTTTCATTAGCTTAAATAAACAGAAAAAAGTTATGGGAGCTATTGTAAAACGATTGGAATTTTTTTCTTTTCAAAACGTTTCTAATATAAATTAAACAATAGATGGTTTGTGATTTGAATGTGCAGTTGTAACAAACGCACAGACGGAATCTTGGATTCTCTTTCTTGTGTTCTCTTACAGAATGTTATTTCTATTATTCTTACATTTTACTTCGACGGAGAGAGACTGAATTATTAGATTGTAATATTTGAGCTCTTTCAAAAGATTCCTGTCAGTAAAATTTTTTTAAAATTCAACACTTGAAAGATAAAGCTTGAATTTTATACCTGAGTACATTGACTACCTGAATGATACATCGTAGTGACCATATTGGGGGAGGGATGGTCCTATTTTATTTTCTTAGGCAAAAGTGCTAGAAAAGGCAGATGCTAGAAAATCTTCTACTTTTCTTCGGGAGGAGAATTCGTGTCTTCAGTCTCTCCACGAAAAAGAAGCTTAATTGCCACAATTAAAAATTAGATTTGGCAGCTAATTCAGAAGCATTATATGGACACCTAACGTATCTGAGATCTAATTTCCATTAGTTATAAGTCCTAAATATTATCATTATAAGCATTTTGCTATTATGTCGATGTATTAATCATTACAGCGAACGTTTTCTGTTTCAGCAGACAATTTGATAGCAAGTACAATTTCAGCTAATCTATATAAATAATATTTAGCTGTAGTAGAGATAATTTTTTTTCACAAGGATATATCTGATAACTATGACAACTTCATGTTGCTAAATAAATTGATCTGTAACAGACATGCATACTTTGCTATCACGTCTTTATATTAGCTATAGCAGTAAATCCTCCAGTATATATTAACAAATTTCATAGCTATAGTAGCTAATGCAATTTCAGCTAATCAGAATTAACTGTAGCCATAAACTTTTTTTTTCCGTGTCGTAGTTTACTGTGTAGACAGGACGCACGACATCCATCTCTTAGAGCAAAAAATCAAATATAAAGTTCAAGAGTTATCTGTTGTCTGTTCATTAAAGGATCATTCATACCGGACGGCGGCGGAACATTTCCGATCGGATTATTACATATTCGGTTTAATAATTCATAATGTGTTAATTAGTGTCCAGTACATATAATTTCTCGTGTAAACGGAAATATACGGAAATATCTTGAATATTACAGGTAAGAACATTATACAGAGTGTCACATTTTAATATCCTACCCCAAATTCATAAAATTAAGTTCATTTTTATTAAGTATTTTTTGAGTTATAAGGCAAGTTACAGCACCGCTGGCATTAACATTACCCAAAGTGTCCGACCGACGACCAAAACCTCTTAAATGTTGTTCAGGATCATGACCTGGATAACATTTGCCAAGATCAAGTCATTGGAAATTGTTTTTCTTATTTTCACTTTTGCACCAATTCATTTTTATATAAAAATGAAAATACTAATGCTGTAACTTGCTAATAAAAGTACTTAATAAAAATGAACTTAATTATAGTGTTTTGAAAAGCTCTTGAGATAATCTACAAGAATATGCAATAAAAAGTAGAGGGTTCCATTTAAGAGATTGAAGATAACCTTCACATGACCTTCAAGCAACTATTTAAGATTAAACTAATGACACCATCTTATGTCCCCCTCAAAGCCATACAACTTTTGTCTATTTACGCCATATAACATTTTTTTCTAAGATTAAAAATAAAAAAATTATTTGGAGTGAGACATCAAAATGAAACACTCTGTACATAAGCGTACTAAATATATCAATATACGCATCCCTGTGAATAATAAATCATAAAAATACGCAAAGAGAAATTGTGCTGTGTCGTAATACTAGCGAGATGAAACGTGTCTTCGTCTAGTATGAATAAATCTTTATGGGCCTCATTACACTATCGGGCAGTGTGTTAGTGCCGATAAACCTACCTAAACAGTCGAGTCAGTTATAAAGAGAAACCGGGCTACACGCGCCTTCGTCTCAGTTTGATGCAAGCTTTCTTCGAGCGAACCACGCATCATAGGTAAACTATTATTGCGAGCTTGGAAAAGTGAATATTTTGCGTGTTCTCAGAAAAAGTGAAGTGTAAATAAAATTAAATGATACATGTTTAAAGATCGTTTCATTAACGTTTGTAATATTATTGTGCTGTTAATAAGCAAAAGTAACTCGTAATTAACGAGTATAACATAATGAATAGATAAGATATTTTTAAACCGGTTATTTGTATAATTACTAATTTGTGAGTTCAAAATTTTACGGCGACATATCAAATTGTGCTTGGGTAATTATTTAATCTTATATAACGTTAATTTATATCAGTAAAAACTTTAGCTAAAATGCTATCAATTAAGCGTTTGGTGTTAATCATTTTAAGCATCTAAAAAACCTCTCATTATTGATAAGAAATCAACGTTATGAAACTTATCATCTTAATGATAAGTTTCAACATCTTGATTTTTAATGTAGTAACAATGTGTTATAAATATCACAATGCTAAGAATAATAACATAATTTGACGATTCGTAAAATATTACTGCAGAAAGGCATAAAAGTTACAAAAAAGAGATAAGGTTAAATAATGATACAGCTTATAATATTTTTGAATGATTCAGTGTTTAGATATATGTGTATGTGTGTGTGCGTGTGTGTATGTGTGTGTGTGTGTGTGGAGGGGAGTATGCGTGCCTAAAAGATTAATACTTTAAATATGTTATATAATATTAAATATATTTTATATTTATTATAAATTTTATATTATAATTATAAATAACTATCAATTTTTATATAGGCTCTAACGAATAAATACAAGAATAGATGTAAATCAGCCAATGCGAGCCAACACAGGTTAGGCATGTGTGAATATACTTCGTATACTTTATTCTTGAGAAAAATTGACAAACGTTTCAATCCTATCGATTGAGTCTTCCTCAATGTAAAAATAAAAATAAAATCGGTGACGTATAAATTTAATATAAAAGATGCAAAGCAAATTGAAGTATCGTTAACATATATTCGTAAAATTATAATAATGCTGTCTGTCGTATCTAACAAAATACTCAAATCTAACATTTCAAATTATCTGTAATTTAATAAAGTTAAATAAATCATTAAAACATAAATCAAATCAATTCAACAAAAAACTTACGTATAATAACTTACGTATAATGTTAACGGTGATATATGAGATAAGACATATATTAATACAAAGACGTTTAAAGTATGTGAGAGTATGTGAGAGATCAATTGTTGTTAGTCATAAATATAAAACATAGTGACACATAAATACAATATATATACATGTTTTGTATATATATTGTATTTATTTGTCACATGTATACAATAAATTAGAGAAATAAAACATGGAAATATTAAATTTTTTTAAATAGATCTTGATATAATGGATCTAGAAATTCTGTGCCCTGCACATTAAGTTCATTTTTTTGTTTGTTAATAAAAATTGATTCTGCAATGAGTCGTTTATTATAATTCGTTTCTCTGTCTAAGATCTTTGTGTGATTCCAGTCAAAAACATAATTATAATCCAATCTATGTTCAAAAATTACGGATTTTTGTTTCGTCTCTCTTTTGATATGATTGTGATGTTTATCGAATCTGGTCTTAAGCAATCGTTTCGTCTGTTCTACGTAGGATGCATCGCATTCCTGACAAATAACTCTGTATACTACGTTGGCTTGTCAAAGTGATGTCAATTTATCTTTTTCATTTCTAATGAAAGAATTCAGTTTATTTAATCTCAGATAAGCAAGACAAACTATCCTGTTATTCTTCTGAAAAATCGTTTGAATTTTTCTAATATTGATGGAATATAAGGTATTATAAAAAATGTAGTCAAATTTTTGTCTGTCTGTTCTTCGCACGAGTTACATTGTTATTCTAATCTCTCTAGATTTTTTTTAAACAATCTCTTTTTGATGGTGTTAAAAATAAGCTCCAAAGAATATCCGTTATTTACTAAAATGTTGATTATTTTAATGAAAATTTAATTCGTGAAATTTTTGATGTGATAACATTAACACTCTGTCCGTTAATTCCGTAATAATATATATTTTTTGACTTAATGGGTAACATGAAAAATAATTTAAATATCTTGAAGAGGATGTAGGTTTTTGATACCAATTGTAAATTAGTTTTTTGTCTTTTTTAATTAAAGTTAGGTCCAGAAAATTTAATTTATCCCCACCAAGCTCTATAGTGAAAATTTTAATTTAGACTCATATTCGTTAAAAATTTGTTAAGATTATATCAATATTCTGTTTTGTAGGCAAAGCAATGTCATCAGCATACCTATAATAAAAATCTAATGTGAACGGTAATTTATCATTTTATGAATATATGTTAACGATACTTTAATTTGCTTCGCATCGTATCTTTTATATTAAATTTATACGTCATCGATTTTATTTTTATTTTTACATTGAGGAAGACTCAATCAAAAGGGTTAAAATATTTGTCAATTTTTCTCAAAAATATAGTATACGATTTCACACACGCCTAACTTGTATTGGCTCGCATTGCCTGATTTAAATCTATCCTTGGATTTATAATTATGTAAAGTTTTTAAGATGTCAAGAAATATGATAAACAGTGTGTTAAAAAAAGAGTTCAGGACTTATAGAATCAATAATATTCATTAAAAAATACTGAATGAAATCATACAAGATAGAATATTTAAAGAGAAGCAATTTTTGGTTTTGCTAAAGCAAGTAATTTATTTACTTCTTTGGTAGTTATTACGGAATTCGGACTATGGTTATGATGTGGCCAGAGCCAATGATCGACTCCACTTGGTCAAAATCACAGTCTTTATTTCGAGCACAACAGATCTATATGACTAAACGCGATAAGAGTTCTCAGAGGAGAAGTGTTGTAACTCTCCTCTTGCGATTGCTTCCTGACTTCAGTCTCTGAGAAACTTATTTACTTCTTTTCAAATGTTCGAAAACGCTTCAATTTACCGATTTTATAAATACAGCGCAATATTTCAACTTTATTGTCTTGCCTGTGCAAGATATGGCGGCTATATCCCATATTTCTACACATCGATTTACAGCGCGTGCTATCTTATATTTTACCGCGATATCGAATTGTCATGGCATGTATATTAATTTAAATGCCGTTTAGAAATGTTCTTAGTCGTTGTGCTCTTTTTGTTACTTTAACTGTTACGCGACTGTCTCTGTATTGTCCTTTTTGTTACGTCGAACAGCTGAGCATGTCTTGATATTTGCATGTGTCTCGCGCGATTCCGAGAACGTGATATTTTCGTATGACAATTATATATTTGCGAAATAAATTTTCGACTGAGGCAATGGCGATATAATCACCACACTTCTATTTATCAAAGACAAAGTTAAAGATGTGTAACACAAGATTATTCAAAGGATTGTCTTACACATTTAAAAAAAACAAAGACTTTATAATTAAATCAGTAATAGTAGATCAGGAGTATGAAAGTTAACATTGGATGTTCTATGTGTAAATATTTATAAATTCGTATCTTAATAACATGTAGACGTTTCAATCTTCGTATCAGGTATCCCTATGCTTCAAAAATTAAATAAGTCCTGAATTCTTAATATAATTATAATTGTACAATAATCTTTTGCACCTGTGTGTAACAATTTTAATATGAGACACTATCAAGAGACATGACTGTCTCGGAAATCAAATACTCACTATTATATTTACATAATATATATGGAAAGATAAACAGCAATAATAAACAACACAGCAATAATAAAATAATCGCAAATAAAAAATAAATAATCATTTATTTAAGTACTTTAATTTAATTTAGAATGGAATTTTTTTTGACTATACCCGAACTAGCACGATCATTTTAAAGAATGCTACAGATAACTTTAACAGAGATAGCTTTATAAGTACTTTAATATTTAATAGAGGTATTTCGATATCGATATTTGATCTAAAGCTAAATACCGATTCTGATGAAAGCACCATCACTATGTGCGAGACATTAAATAAAATGCACTGCGTAAAAAGGAGTAAGTGCGGACTTCATCCGGAAGAAGATTCACTTATATATCCATTTCGATGAATAATTTGTGACAAGCAATTTATCACACCAATCTTTTCTCTCGTTCAAAGGTCTCATCTTCCCTTAATTGGTGTCATTGAAGAAATAATTTAGAATGTGTTCATATGCGAATGTCATTGCAATTCCTGCGTATCTTATAATATCGCTTTACGTAATAATCTAAAAATGCATGACAGGAGTCAATCACGTGGAAGATTACATTTATCAAAGATTACTTTATTCGGTGTTCCGTACCATCTCTTTAAAAAAATACGCTGTATTATCATCTCATTATTCTCTTATTTGCATTTTGTTTTATATATTATATATATATTATATTTATCAAAAATTATACATACACACAGTATTATAAGGATTATCAGATACTCTCTATTAATGACTATACTGTAATTTTTAACCTACATATGGTAAAGTAAATTTTTAAAATATATTCAGAGAAGTAGAATTAGATCTAACTCAATGCTGTTTTGTTTATATTTCATCCATTTAATATAATAAAATAGATAAACAAATAAATAAATAAATAATATAATGAAACTTCTTTTTCTGTTAAATAGAAAAAAATGGGAATCGCATTCAATCTCCTTTACTATAGGAGAATTAAATTAAAATAAGATAATCCGAATAATTTATGCACAGATACAATCAAGTAACATAAATCCGAGAAATAAATAAAACGTAGCAGTATTTTATTGCATGTCTATTGCATAACTGAGTGTCTTGAAATTTTTATCTATGATAGCATTTTACTCATTACATAAATTGCTGTTCCGTTAGATTGTGGATCATTTAAAATGCACCGAGAATGCATTTTACTATTTTGTAATTTGTCGTTATAGCAAATTCATTAACAAGATAAGAATTAATTTGTTATTACATAAAATATGCATTGTGTCAGCAAACTGTTTCCTCCATGCAACACAAATTAAAGACAAAAAGCTAAGCAGCACAATGTTTGAAGTGCATTACTAATTACGCAACACAGTTTTAATTAAGCTAACCCTAACTACCCTTACTATAATTTAGAAGCATGTAAAGTTTGTTTTAACTATGTCCATACTGTTCTCATATTGTTAACTTTTTGATGTAAAGGATACTTCAGTGAAGTAAATCGGACACAAACTACGCCAACATGAATGCTATGAAATTAGGCTGGTTCAGCGAATTGAACAGCGAGCTGTGGCCCGGTGTTGCATTATCGCTGGAAGTAGAAGAAGTCCTACATTCTGAACGCTCTTCGTTTCAAGATATTCTGGTAGTGAAAACGTGAGTATTTTTTCTTCAGGCACTCTAAATTTATTGCAGTGAAATCTCATTTCAAGAGAGTGGAAATCTAACCATCCTCGAAAAAAAGTGAAAATATTTCACTTTCTTGGAATGAGATTTCACTGCAAGAAATTTAAAGTGGGGACGCCACAAAATTATTAAACGTATAAGACAGTATTTTAAAATATATTAACAATCAAATCGATGGATTAAAAATTTATATTAAGAATTAAAAAATATTAAATGTATATAATTTGTTATAAACATAAAAAATGTTATGTTTGTAGATTTACACATGGTAAAGCTTTAATGCTCGACGGCGTGATTCAATGCACGGAGAAAGATGAAATGTCCTATCACGAGATGATATCATATTTACCGCTATGCAGCCATCCAAAACCAAAGAATGTAAGAATAATAACTGATATATTACTAATTGTTTCAATAAGGTTTCATTAAAGGCATCCTAAAAGCATCTGTTTTATCGACTCAACAGGACATACCCAAGCCGAATAACAAGTCATGATAACGTCAAAATGATATTTAAATGAATCGAAAATGATTGAAAAATAACTTTTAATGATCATTTTAGAGTCATTTTGACATCATTTTGGTATCATAATAATTGTTGTTCTGCTTGATTATTTACATAACAATTATATCAGATTTTACATTTATATCAATTTATTCGAATTTTTTAAATATATATTTATATAAAAATAATAGACTTTTAAAATGCTAATTGATTTAATAAAAACAAAACGATAAGTTATTTACGTTATTATTATATTTAAAATATAATAATAACGTATAGATAAAATATGTTAGAGACATCATGTGCTTCATTGGTTAATAATGAATAATTAATAAATTGTTTAATGTAAGTTAAATATGTGGTAAATATTATGTATCATTAAAATAATGTGTTTCTTTTAAGTAATAATAAAATTACCTTTAAGAAAATATATAGATAACTCGAAATTTCTATCAAATAACAGGTTTTAATAGTGGGTGGTGGTGATGGTGGGGTTGCCCGAGAAGTTACGAAACATCCGGATGTAGAGCGTGTCACATTAGTGGACATCGACGACCGAGTTATCGAAGTGTGCAAGCAATATTTGCCTCGTTTGAGTTTAGGTCTTAATAATCCTTACGTAAATATCATTGTTGGCGATGGTTTCGAATTTCTGAACCATCATCAAGGAGAATTCGATGTTATCATCACTGACAGTAGCGATCCCATAGGCGAGTATCGGAATTAAAATATTAATTGTTTCAACAAAGTTTCATTAAAGGCATCCTAAAGTTGTCTGTTTTATCGACTCAATAAAACATATTATACATAGGATTTACGTGTTTTCGATATAAACTCCTTACAGATACATATTAATGCGTATACTGAAAAAAGATTTTAAAATCTGTAAAAAAGGAAAACGAAATTGGGATAAATATTAGATTATTGTGCTTAATCGCTTAAAACAGACGACTTTAAAATTTTATTAAGGTTTTTTTCTCTGCAAATAAGATCTTTTTTATAGTAAAAAAAAGAAAATACACAATTTCTTTAACGGAAAATATTACGAATAAAATTAATAATTTCGACGTTCTGTTTAGGTCCCGCCGAGAATCTCTTTAAACATGCGTACTATCAATTATTGAAATCTGCATTAAAACCTGGTGGACTCATTGCCAGCCAGGCTGGTACAGCATGGTCCAACCTGGATCAAGTGTGTAGCACATTCCAGCATTGCAAGGCTGTGTTTCCTGTCGCTACCTACGCAGTAACATCCGTACCGACATATCCTACGGGTCAAATTGGTTTTATTCTTGGAAGCTTAACTGAAGTTAGTATTAAACATAAATTATTTGTATTATGTCCATAAATTTCATATATATTTTCTTATCTCATAACTATATAATTAAATGTATGACAATAATCTAAAGAACATATGTATACACATACCTATATATATCTGTGTGTGTGTGTGTGTGTGTATATATATTTATAAAGGAATCAATAATTTTTGTATACTTGTAAAAGTAAATAATGAAAATTAATGATGGGATTGACCCATCATGTTAATAAAGGACAGAAAAAATGTGTATACTAAGAATTAATATTTGTGTTGTAAAGAAATTTTTTATCAGAGAAATATTAGTTATAAATTATATTTATTGTTCTTAAATTAGTTTTCTAGAATATATTTAATATTTTAACAGCCTAATTTCTTCTTTTTAGCAAACAAATTTTGCAGAACCAGTGAAGGTATTCAGCGACAAAGATTTAGATCGTATGTCATTAATGTATTACAATGATAAAATACATCGGGCAGCTTTTGCTTTACCAAGATTCGTAGAGAAGGCTTTGAATGCTTGAAATATTAGCCAAGTATCTAGCGATATTTATTAAATTCGATTTTATATAACAGATGATGTGACACTTATTTCCTTCGATATTTGCGTGTAAATAATGGTTGAGTTTTTGTAAAACGTTATATGATATAAATAAAAACATTATCTATATATGTTGTATCTTTTATGAATATATTTCTGTATTTCTAATTATCTACGTATGTATGTGAACAATATATCTAAATTAAATCTACCTTACAGAAACAAAAACGTATTTTATATATTTGTTAACAAATTTTTTTTATAAATAATACTATATATATATATATATAT